TCCTACAGCAAGGACACTCCTCTACATAAACACACCACAATCCTCCAGATCAGGAAAGAGCATGACACTTTACTGCCATCTCATCTGCAGGCCCCACTCAGGTTTCTCCCACTGTCCCAGCTGTGTCTTGTATGATGGAAGGGTCTACTTCACAATACATGCTGTGTCTAGTTGTGAGGTCTATTTAAATCTTGTTACCCTGGAACCCTCATGACATTGAGACTTGAAAGCTAGACCAGTTATTTTGAAGAATGTCCCTCAATTTGGATCATCTGATGCGTCCTCATGATTAAATTCAGTTATGTATTTTTGTCAGGAATGTAAGTGATACTCAGTTCTCCAACTTGTCCCATTACTGATTGTCTCAGTTACCTAGTGCTGCTATAACAGAAATACCACAAGTGTTTCTTTAACAAACAGAAATTTATTTTCTCACAGTTTAGGAGGCTAGAAGTCTGAATTAAGGGTGCTGGCTCTAGGGGAAGTCTTTCTGTCTCTGTCGGCCCTAGAGGAATGTCCTTGTCTCTTCTGAGCTTCTGCCTCTGAGCAATTTTCATGTGGTTTGGCATCTATCTTCCCCCATCTCTACTTGCTTCTCTATGCCTAATCTGCTCTTCTTATATGTCAGTGGTGGTTGGCTTAAAAACACACCCTACACTGACATGGCCTCTTAAATAACAAAGAAAACCCTATACCTAAATGGAATTATAACCACAGGTCTAGGGGTTAGGATTTACAACACATATTTTTTGGGGGACACGATTCAATCCATAATACTGATGGTGCTCACTTTGATCACTTAATTAAGCTGGTGTCTGCCAGACTTCTCCACTGTGAAGTTACTCATTTTCTGTTTGTAATTAATAAGTGTTTGTGGAAGGGTTCTTTGAAACTAAGCAAATATCACATTCTTCATCAAAATTTCAATTTATCCATTTGTTTATTTTTATCAGTATGAACTTGTGGATTCTCATTTTATCCAATAGTTGATAATAGATTACTATCATTATTTATTTTGATTCTCAGATCTTCCCAGATGTGGCCAGTAGAACCCTGTCAAGCTGGCTTCCCTGTCTTCCTATCATGTCCCCATCTTTCTTTGAGTACTTTCTTGCTTTCTGGCACAATAAAATGTTCCAAGTTCATCTTGGGTTCTCCCTGCTCCAACTCTGGAATCAGCAATTTCTTCAAGAAGCTTCAGTTCCTTTTGGTGGAGAATGGTATTTAGAAGCAGAGTTCTGAGTACTAAATATGCTTTTTGCTATTGGGATGTTGCTACTCCCAGGCCCTTTAAATGGACAGAGCTAGGAAACATGTACACACATAAACACATATGTACAGTTAACTAGCATTTCTTTTCTATCTGTGTTATTGAACCATGGGTTCATACTGATATGTCTAATCCCAATACCACAGGGCTCATTTTAGTTTCTCTTTTTCTGTATTGTACCTCCATTGTCTGATAGTGGGAAACCTGCCCCCCTCATTATCTTTAATATATTTACTTATTTGTCTAATGCCCTGTATATAACTAATCTTCCATTTCTGCTGCTGCTTAGTGTTCCGTGTGCATGCCCTCTGCATCCACCTTAGGCTCCTACACCTCCCAGTATGGACATCGTCTTCATCCCTCTTGTGTGCCAGCACTCCATGCCAGTTTCTCTCTGGACACCTTCCCCACTTGGACTTTTACTTCCCATGCTGGACTGCCTCCAACTTGTCATTGTTGTTAGTTACTGTGAGTTGATTCTGACTCATGGCAACGCCCATGTGTGCAGAGTAGAACTGCTCCATAGGGTTTTCAAGGGTGTAA